GTCCGTGCCTTTAATTTCCCACTTCTCCTCTCAGCCAGAGCCATGCAGGGCGGTTCCCCAGCAACCCAGGGTTTGGGAGGTTGTTTTTTGAAAAATAGATGCAAAGCCTGCCTGTGCTGTTGTTGTTTCCTGGTGCCTGGCAGTGTTTGGTAAACAACTTGATTGCTGGGTCCTGGCCTCCAGGGAACCACAGCTGCTCTTCCCAGCTCCCTGCAGACTTTTGTACCAAGCAGTGATTGCTTCGGGGGAAAATAAACAGGGTGAACAAAACAAGAAAACAGCACTGTTGTTTTGTGGCTGCCTCTACCTGTTTTTCCCAGAGCTGTTTTGCAACCAACAGCCCTGGGCTTTGGTTCTTTTGCTTTAAAAAAATAAAATAAAACAAAACCAAAAAAGAAAAAAAAATCAAAACAAAACAAAGCAGGCTCCAGCGGGCCTCCCTTCTCTGTGGCTAGACAGTGGCATTTGGAAGTAGCCACAAGGACTTGCAAAGCCTTGGGAAGGAGTTACTGACCACTGCCAGGATGTATGCATTTTTAAATATGTAAATGGCAAAGGGAGAAAGCTTCATCCTTTCTAATGACCCCCAGGGTGGTAATCTGGCTTTTCAAATCTCTAGGAAAACAGATTGAATATGGCACAATTAATGTTTGAGCACTTCTAGGCTTTTTCTAAAATATTTTAATGGGCTTTTAATTTATTGCAGCTCTTGATTAGCAGGTTGGAGCAGTGTTCCAGCTGACCTCCTGGGCTCAGGCCTCTTTGGGGCTGGAAGGGAGTGGAGGAGCACAATGCCCCCGAGGTGCTTACAGCCCAAACTGCCCAGGACTGAGCCCTTAGTGTCTTGGCCTGGAGCGCTCGGAGAGAAATGCAGTGGGCTGCAGTTATGAGGGGTGTCTGGTAGACATGAAGCTCTCCGAAATCTGATGGTGCAGGTCTGTATGGAGGGCAGGGATCTGCGTCTAAAGCTAGTGCCTCGGTTTGACTCTGCCGCCCTGGACTTGGTGATTGACATAGCTACAGTGTGTGGAAAGAACAAGTAAGCTCTGAGTACGAAGTCTAGGACGTGTGTGTGTGTGTGTGTGTGTGTGTGTGTGTGTGTGTGTGTGTGTGTGTTCACATATATTTAAATTTTTTGATACCTGCCCTTTGCTCTATTAATGCATGTACTTGTTTCCTCTCAAGTACCCATTATTCTGGCTCAACACTACATATTGAAATCAAAGAACTGTCCTTCAAAATCATTTTCTTTTAGCTTACCATTAGTCCTCAGGAAGAAGTGGTAAACTCCTTTTTGTCTGGAAGGCTCTCTTTTCACCTTCTGTTTTGGAAGATAGTTTTTCCGGGTGTACACTTCCAGGTAGACTGCTTTTGCCTCTGGGCAGTGTTCTGGATAATTTATTTGGCTGTCTGTCTTTCTTCAGTGGCTGTATCTTTCACTTCTGGAGCCCAGAGCAGTTAATTGTTTTAGTAAGTTACAAAGCTGAGTGGAGACAGTTTCCGTGTCTGGTGGATGCTCATCCAAACACCCCCAAACCAAACAGAATTGCCCCACAAACCACAGTGGAAGTTGGTCCTTTATTTCTGGGTATTCCTGGTTACTATTCTGCATTTTAAGTGAAGCATGGCAGAGTTGCTGAGCAGAGTCCCAGGCTGTGGCTTGACCCACCAGTGGCTTGACTGGAAAGCTGCCCTTCACATAGGAAAAAAAAAACAACCCCTTGGGACAGCGTCTAGGCTCAATCCTCACTCTAGATGCTTTGCTGGCTCTTTATCACTGCCTAGCCCCTGGCTGTTCAGTAGGAGTTTGTACTTTGCTGCCCTGCTGCTATCCCAGTTTCTAATTCCTTCTAAAACGGTTGAAGACAGTTCCTCTAAAAAGGAATCAGCTGACCAGAAACTTTTTGTGGTTAACCCCACCTCCTCCTGCCTTCACTGGGCTTCTGAATTGTTCTAGAATCAGAGACAAAAGAGTAACTTTAACCATTCTTTGCTGCTTCTGTTTCTCCTCCTCCTTCCCCTCCCCCTCCTCTTCTCCTCCCCCTCCCCTCCTCCTCCCCCCTTCCCCTCCCCTCCCCTCCTCCTCCTCCTCCTCCTCCTCCTCCTCCTCCTCCTCCTCCTCCTCCTTTTTCTCCTTCCTCCTCCTTCCTCTCACCTTCCTCTCCTTCTTTAAATATAAACTATTAAGGATATTAGGTGCTATCTTGGAACAGTTCTGGAATTCTGCTGGGAGGTGATCTGGCTTAGTGTATTTGTCTGTGGCAGCAGATGCTCTAGAAACCCCACTGTGTGTTGCTATGTGCCTAGTAATTATGGGTGCCCCAGCTCTTCCTATACTCGAAAGGGAGCTTCCATGTGTCTTCCAAAGTGTCTTCCATGAGGTCTCATAACCAAGACTCAGTTGAGCCAACCTGCTTCAGAAGCCTGTGTCAGAAGGCCATCTAATTTAGGATCTGAGACTTTGCATTTGTGCAATGGCTTCGGAAAGTGTGCATTTCTCAGAGTAAGCATTACAGAGCCCAGTCCCTGGGATTCTCTGTGCCTCAGTATCTATATTAGATACTTGGTAATACAAATTCTATTCTATTCTATTCTATTCTATTCTATTCTATTCTATTCTATTCTATTCTATTCTATTCTATTTCTATTCTATTCTATTCTATTCTATTCTTTTCTGTTCTGTTCTATTCTATTCTATTCTATTCTATTCTATTCTATTCTATTCTATTCTATTCTATTCTATTCTATTCTATTCCATTCCATTCCACTCCACTCCACTCCACTCCACTCCACTCCACTCCACTCCACTCCACTCCACTCCACTCCACGCTAATCCATTCCAATCAATTCCAATTCAATCCATTCCAATCCATTCCATTCCATTCCATTCTATTCCATTCTATTTCATGTGTATGGATGTTTGCAATCATATGTGTCTGTACCACTTGCATGTGCCTACAAAGGCCAGAAGAGGGAGTCAGATTCCCTGGAGTGGTGGTTATAGATAATTTGTGAGTTACCATATGGGTGCTGGGACTCAAGCCTGGGGTCTCTGAAGGAGCAGCCAGTGCTCTCAACTCCTGAGCTATCTTTCAGGCCCTATAACACACTTCTTATGAAATGGAGTAATGATAGTAAAATCCTTCAGACAGTATCTTATATCTAGCTGTCCATCGATGCCAGTTCTATTTTAGGAGATGCTGATTTACTTAATTGTGATTTTTTTTGATTCATTTGTTGACTAAACATCTGTATGGAGTGCCTTTTATGCAGCAGTACTTTTTTGGCAGTTTTAAAGTGCTGGGCAGAACTTTTATCTCAGGGAGCTGATGGTCTAATGAGGAACACAGGTGGAGTGAACGATGTTATTGGTTCCCGAGAAAGCAAACAGGATGATACGGTTGAGGCTAAGTAGGAGGTAGGCTTACGTCGGTGGACGGACAGGCTCCTTAAGAGGCTAATGTCCCTAACACACAGAGATGAGAAAGAACCCTCTGTGTAAGGAGTAGACTAGTAGGGTTCCCGGGGGCTGGACTAACAAGGACACCAGACCTGTGGCTCACTTTGATCAGGAAGAAGCCTACTGGGTCTGCTTTGGTAGTAGTGAGGAGCTGAATTGGCAGTCTGAGGTCATGTCAGGGAATGAGAGAGAACGGATTATATAAGGCTCTTCAGACTGTGTTTAGCCTTTACTCAGAGAATGAGGGACCCTAGCGTATGACTTTTTGCTGTATGAGATAGAGTCCATAGCTTTGGAGAAGCTCTCTAAGTCTGGGACTCAAGGATATTTGTGACAGCTGGAGCACAGGACTTGCCATTTGGTTTCAGTATGGTCTACTCTTGCAGTCACTGTTTCTTCTGGTAGTCTGGTAGAAACGGAGTCTCGGGTCCACTGCAGATGTACTAAATCAGTCCTGGGAAGCACGGTCCCCCAGTCTGCATTTTGAACAGATCTCAGTGATACTTCCACAGTTTGAGAAGGTCTGATCTGGAATACACTGGGACTGAGTTTCTCTGCAGTTGGTGCTGTGTTCTGGGGAGGAAGGGAAGCCTTCTGTGGACACCCAGGGGATGCCATCTGCCACTGACTGCCAGCTCAGCAGCACTAGGTCCCTGTGCCAGAGTGAAAGTCTTCCTAAACACTTGCAATACTCTGCCCACAGTCCATCTTTGGTGTTGATGACAGTTAGACATCAGAGTGATTCATGTCATAAACTTCTTAATCATGATGTTAAAAAGGAAAGGAGAAGCTAATAGTTCAAGTTCCTTTTCAATAATCATGCTTTATGATAGAAAAGCTAAGGGCACTAGAAGGAGGTAGGTGAGCACTGGTTAATACCTATGTTTACACGTGGCAGAACTGGCATCTCAGCACAGTAAAGGCTCTTCAGGGCCACATAGTTGAACAGTGCTGTTCTGAGGGCAGATCTGAGGCTCCTCCTCAATTTTGAGCCCCTCTCTGTGTCTTCTTTCTCAGTGGAAATATGTACATGAGTGTGGTCCCTGCAGAACTCAAGACCACCTGAATATTAAAATGGGATTATTTTGCATAAAGCATTATGACTTATTTCTGTTACTATTTTCTTCTTCATGGTTATTACTATCTTAAATGATTATAATTTATTAGTTTTTTATCATTTTTTTTGAGTGGTTTTTTTTTTTCATCCTCTGGCAAAGAGCATTATCTAACAAGAAAAGATACTTTTATTTATGTGTATAAGGTTCAACTTAATATGGATTTGTATTACTCGAGCCTTTCTGATAGAACATGGTACATTTGAAATGCTGAACTATTTAAGAAGATGATAGAGAAGTCTAAGTAAGTAATGGCCTTTGTCGTTCAAAAACAGCTTCCAGTTCCTGCTTGTGAGCATCATACTGTTGGAACGGTGTTTTCCCCATGTCTACAGTGGTGTCTGTGTTGCTGTTTTCAAGTTTAAGGAAGTAGTGGTTTCAGAAGTTACATCTTAGTTATGTGTGAAAACATTTTTGTGTTGCAGTGTCCCAGAAGCTTCTGCTGACAATCCCAGTTTCCAAGGGAACCCTTTCGGCCATGGTGAGGGCTGCGCTCCGCTCCCTTCTCTGACTTGCCTTCAGCCATGAACGGATGGGTGTGATGCCTGCTAGCCGAAAGGGTGAGTGAAAGTTGGTGACTATTCATTTGAAAAGTCACAAGACCATAAAGAAAAAAAAAAGTCAATGAAGACGATGAACCAAGAAGGTGGTGAACACATCTGTGAGAGCAGGGCCACACCATGGTGTGCATCTCATTGTTAAACCTTTCAGGATGATTCTTACAGGAATCGGAGGAAGGACATGAGGGAACTTTTCTCACTTGGCTTTGTTGTATTTTAATAAGACTCTGAATCATGAGTTTTGGGCAATCAGAATTTTGGAAGGAAGGCACCATTGTCTGAGGAATTGCTTCTTGAGCCCTGTCATAACTTACCAGTAACGCAGGCCACACTGCCGCACAGCTGTGATTCCTTCATCCTGAGTCCCAGTTTGCTCGCGGATAGGTCCCATCGTTGGCCCTCACATAATGGGCCCCCGAAAAAGCCAAAGGGTTGCAAAGTTGGGTTTCTCAACCACTTTCTTAAAAATTTCTGGGGACTTTTGCCCCTGTTACCTGCCTCATCAGGTCATTCAGGGGCGTGACAGAAGGGACGTGATATTTTCCTGTTATGTGTACTTTCTACATTTGATACCATCTACCATGTTCCTGAGAAAGCAACGGCTTCCCGTGCAACAGTGAATAATTGTGACTTACCTTTACACCTAGTCACTTACTGAGGTGCAGAGGGTTTTAGGGAAATGTCTGACATCCCGCAGTAGCTTTGTCCTAGAATAGAGCCAGTTTATGGGGACCATTTCGTGTCAGGTGTTTATTGAGTGACATGAAGTGCTAAGAACCATTGGCATAAACTCATCTCGTTAGTGGAATTGTATTCAAAACATATTTAATTGGGAGAATAGAGTAAAAGGCACACATCTTCAAAGTTAACTAATAATTAACTGATGCGTATGTAATCTCTTTCCTTTGATTCCCTGTATTCCGTACAAATCGTGGTGATGGATTAGATGGTGTCTGTACTAACTAGGTTCTGGAAGTTGTCTGTGCAAACCTTCTTCATTTACAAATGGCAGTGCCGAAGCCCTCCCCATCTGAGTGGGATGTTGATGTTCCTGGGCTTAGTTTAGAAATGGACGAAAGAATTGGTCCTCAACTGACCACTCTTTCCAAGAGATGTCTTCTGGTAATGGGTGCGTCTTGAAAACACTGTTAAACATTCAGGTGTTTGGGCCAGATTTTTTTTGAAGATTTTATGGCTAGGGAGCATGTTGACATGCTGATTTCACAGAACTTTAGGAAAACAACTAGTCCCATTGTTCCATACCATCCTGTCCCTCAAGAGCCTGCTGACTTTCACGTTTCTGAGCAGACTAGTCATACTTTTCATTTCATTTTACTGCAGCTAGAGAGGGAGAAAATATCATCCTGTTATTTTCTGCACAGTAGTTTTTCTTTCATTGACAAGAAATAGGCAAACAATCAACAATAAACAAGACAAGGATGTATGCAGTATAAAAATAAAATGGCCAGTGGAGTCATGTGGCGGTAGAGCTGAATGAAATCTTAGATAAATTTTCAGGGTCCTAAGTCAGGTCTGGGGGTCCCTCGCAGAGGGTTTCCAGTGCGATAGTCCTTTGCTCGGCTTTGGTGAATGGTCTCTAGATTGGTGAGCAGATGTCACACATACAGGTGGAGTGGACAATAAATCTTTAATCTGTCTGGAGTACAAATGAGAATTCATAGAAGTGGTTGGGATTCTGAAGGTCTTGAAACGTCACGGAGCCCAGCCTCTCTTACCTGTCACCCCTGACTTCAATACTGAGAGTCTGACTCAGTCTCGTTGTCCTGAAATTGTTGTATGAAATTGAACAAAACCACATGAGTAGGTTTAATGAATAGTCGGCCTATTTTACTTGTCAATTTCAGTTGTTAAGACTATCGGAAAAGTCAGTCTAAAGAACTGTAATGAAAATCACTCTTTTGAAAAAGAATCTACTGTTAGTCCATGTTGAATAGCATTGTTAGTTTTTATAAATGAGGAAATGCTTTATGTTTCTCAGACTGCAATAAACTTCCCAGGGCTGTGTTTTTAGTAGGAAGTAGAGGTCCTGTGAGCTGGGATATTCATTCTGACATTTTCATCCACCCCCAAGTCGGCTTTGAGGCACACCAAAGGATGAAGTCTCTGCGATGCAGGGACTTGTCCTGGCCTAGTGCTGTGCACCTGAAGGCCGATCGAGTCCTTTCACTGCCAACTCAGTCATAGTCTTGTGCCTTTTACACTTTATAGTTTATTAAGTAATAAAACAATCGCTAATCATTTGGAGTCTTGAGTCTCAACATCAACTCTTGTTCTGCGTGAGGCATTTCCTGGAATGTGTCCTCATGGTAAAGCAGGTCAGATCCACAGGGTGGGTGGTCAGAATGGCACATCCTCTGCCTTGGGTGCAGGGGAATAAAACTGAGATAAAAGGGTTGCACAAATAGATCATTGTAGCCAACGTTTTGGGGTCAGAAGATGGCTAATGTAATGAATCTGTGTTGGCAGTAAACATGTCTGTATAACGAAGTAAGGAATGAGAAAGGAGAGTCTGTCTCTGGGCTGTGGCTCTTTAAGCCCACCATTCACCTGACAGACCTCTGATTTGCCTTCTGTTTGCTGGTGTGAGCATGAAGCATTCGTTAATGTCGTTCCCTGTCTGAGCCGTGGAGTGAAGAGTGGCTAAGTCTGTTGCATATTTAATAGGCAGCTAGCCATGGTTATTAATACATGTGATAATAACAGTCTGGATTTGCATAGTGTTCCTGAGAAGATTGACGAGGAATGGCAGAGGTTCTGGCTTATTTGTCAGGCTGTGCTCTGGCCTTGTGCTCTTCCCACCACCAAACTCTCCACAGATCTGGTGACACAGTCTAAGCACCAAGTGGTGTGAGTGATTTGCTCACATTGTTCATGTTGTTTTCATTGATTCATGTACAGTTTCTCTGTGTGTGTCTGTGTGTGTGTGTCTTTGTGTGCAGAGGTCAGAGGTCAGCCTCATGGGTCAACCTCATACAGCATGCACCTGGTTTTCTGAGACTGGGTCTCTTGCTTGCCTGGAACTTGCAGAGAAGGCTAGTCTGGTTGAGTCTCTTTCTCCCTTCCCAGAGCCAAGACGACAAGTGCAGCTTTTACACACGATGGCTGGGGACCTGCACTCAGGTCCTCGTGCGCGCATGCCAAGTACTTCACCAACTTTGCCATCCTCCCAGTTTCAGTTTGGTTTTGATCTTTCTCATGATCACACTCTTAACTTTTGACTTGTGGAGAAGTAGAAACTTGGAAGATACAAACCCATCTGACTTCAAGTCAGGCAAGAGGCTGACTTGTGAAGCTGGGCATCTTTGCTTTTTTAGATAAAACTTGAGAACGAACTCCTCCCTTCCCCCCTCTCCCCAGAGGTCTGAGACAGGAGTGCAGGCTGACACATCCCTTTCTGGGCCACCTTGGGTTGCAGTCTGTCATTGGGCCAAGCCACTTGGTTGTGCTTAAACTTCCAGTCTGTGAAATTTTGACTCTGAAAAGTAATTTCAACAATTTAATAAACTATATAATATGTTTTATAAGCTGGAGCGAATGATCTTAAGTATTTTGGTCTCTTTCATAACACAATGAAGCTAATATTGGTAAAAATACAGATCTTCTCTCATGCCATAAAGAGAAGCGAGATTTAATAAGCATTTATAAGCACTGGCAGCTGCCTATCAGATTGTATAACTTGGGCTCCAGCATGCGGAGACAGTGTCAACTTAAATTTTATCTCCCCAGTATTTTCAACACGTTTATTTTGCCTCTCTCTCCAGTCCCTAACCTAATATAAGTAATGTAATTGGCCGAATATTTTCCACATAGCTAATTGGCTAACGGCCAGTGATATAAGCCATTGTCTGGCTTGATGAAGATCAGAAATTAACATGACATTTTCACGGAGGTAATAGAGTATATTAGTGATGCATTCATTCAGCATGGCCAGTGTCCATCCTTTCCTGCCCATGAGCAGAGGCAGGATAGCCATGAATGACCCTCCGGCCTCACAGCAGTGGGCAGCCAGCCCGTGTCCAATGTGCTGTTACCTCTTTCAGATGGAGCTATGAAGCACGTGAATGAATTATTCCGTTTGTGAATTAAAAGAGAAAACCCACCAACTACTATTGTAAGATTAAATTCCAATTAGAAGATTGCATTTAATTCAGAAGCTGTAACGTTGTTTTAATGAATTCTGTTGGAGGCGACAGTTTATGTGGAATAAATTTATATGCTGTAGGTAGATATAAATTCATTGGATAATGTTAAACATGTTACTTCATATATATTAGCTGTGAAATTTATTTCTCTCTAGTTATGTCCCCAAGGAGGTGGCGTCAGAGGGAAAACCATAGCTTCAGAGAAAGAACCCTTTCTGATACTTGCTCTGAAACAGCCATTTCTCACTCTCATTTTTTAAAAAAAAAAAATTGTTAAATTTCTGCATTAACTAAATTTATGATTCTTGCTATCTGCTATTTATAAAATTGAATATAGGTTTTTATGATATAGGAAATTAGGCTAGGAATCAGAATATGACCCAACTTTGTAATAAAGGTGATCTGCATTTATATTGCAGGTACTTCCCATTCCTCTCTGAGCCCCTTGTGGGATTATATAAGCATTTTCCTGGACATACTAATTTGCTTTAGAATAAACTTTTAATCTATCGGGTAGCTTTTGTTCGTTTGGCACCTAGACACACTTCTTGCCTGAATCAAGGATGGTGAACATTCTTAACACAGGATTTGATCGTTTCCTTTCCATTCCCGCGCTTGGGGCAGACACCGAAGGTCTAAGTCTCTAAGAATTTTCCACCTTCAATCTTGTAGGTTATCAGTTCACCGTTTGTGGTATCAGTGGCACCATCGTTTATAAAGCAAATAGCTTTAGGGAAGTCTTTCGAGTTGACCTTTTATATGCCCAGTTCACCCTTATCTGGTACACAGTCACTGAATGTTCATGCTTCTTATGTCA